TGTGTGTGTGTGTGTGTGTGTGTGTGTGTGTGTGTGTGTGTGTGTGTCTGTCCGTGTGTGTGTGTGTGTCTGTGTGTCTGTGTGTGTCTGTGTGTGTTGGCTCACTTAACCCGGATGACTGCCAGAGAGCTGGAAGGCATCGCTCACCCTGCTGAGTGTGTGTGTGTGTGAACGCTGTGCAGATGGTGGGTGGTGAAAAGCGAGAGCTCGATCCCTGCAGGGTCTGGCAGGCTGCCAACACACACACTGACACACACACACACACACACCAACTCCACTGATTCATAGTGATAAAACGAGCCGGAGAGGGAAGGAGAATATTTGTTATCTACTACAGTGTGTGTGTGTGTGTGTGTGTGTGTGTGTAGTAAGAATTAGTGCCGATCAATAATTCATTGACACCAGCATTCGACCTCACTGATGACTCTATATATCACACACACACACACACACTCTCCCTGTGGGAATCTCCACAAACTATTACTAATTATTCCCTCAGCATCACACACACACACACACACACACACACACACACATTGAAAGATGGCGTAAGAGAGAGAGTGTGTGTGTGTGTTAGTAAAACAGTGAATTAACAGTCATAATCTCCCTCAATTACACACTAATTGGACCTGTGGATACTAGTGGCAAGTGACAGCACTGTCTCTGTGTGTGTGTCTGTGTGTGTGTGTGTGTGTCTGTGTGAGTGTGTGCGTGTGTGTGCGTGTGTTGTGTGTGTGTGTAGGTGTGTATGTGTGTGTGTGTGTGTGTGTGTCTGTGTGTGTAGCAGGTGGTTTCAAACTCTTGCCTCATCCTTTCCTTCGTTCTCTGTGATGTCGGTCTGACAGACTCTCAGCCAATCAGAAAGTTTACTTTGTGAAATGAGAGCAAAGCATCTTGGGAGTTTTGTATTTTTTTAACTGCACTGACTTTAAAGAGAAATCCAAATGTTCAAAGCGTTCAAAAGTAAAACTTCTGTGTTTTGAGCAAAAAATATTCAACTCCTGTGAAAAGTGAACTCCTGCTGCGCCTTTCAACTTGTACTTCCTCCTCTTCCTTTTTCCCACAAAACTGTGAAGAAGACTTGAAACTAGAGATTGAGACCATAAACTCATGTTTACAATGTTTACTGAGGTAATAAATCAAGAGAGAAGTAGAGTCATTTTCTCATAGACTTCTATACAACCAGAGGAGTCGCCCCCTGGTGGACACTAGAGAGAATGCAGCTTTAACACATGAAGCACTGACTTCACTTTAAAGAACCGGGGGTTGACGTCTGATCCAAACAGATTATAAATAGAATACAATATTTAAAATCTACAAAGTGCCGCCGTCCTGTGGGCCCACCACTCTCCGGGATCGCCATTGGGGTCCGAGTGCATTGAGGTCCAGGTGCATTGGGGTCCGGGTGCATTGGGGTCCGGGTGCATTGGGGTCCAGGTGCATTGGGTTCCAGGTGCATTGGGGTCCGGGTGTATCGTGAGCTGGGCGGCCGGCAAAGACAGAGACCTAGACATGCCAACACAATGTCACCTGTCTGAAAGGAAAGGAACCGGAGCTGGTGGAGGAGGTGGAGCGGTATCCACTAGATATAGTTGGGCTCACCTCCACACATAGCGCTGGGTCTGGATCCAAACTCCCGGAGAGGGGCTAGACTTTATCCTGTTATGGAGTTACACCAGGCTGAGATGCGCCGGGCCGGTGTAGGGATACTCCGGAGCATCCGGATGAGTGTCGCTGTGTTGGAGTCCTTGACTTTTTGTGCCAAAGAGTTCCCATTTTTTAAAAAGGGTTACCGAAGAGTGTGCACCAATTATCGGGGTATCAAACTGCTTAGACTCTCCGCTTAAGTTCGGAGACGAGGAAGCTCCAACTGATTGTCAAACCTCAGATCCGGGAGGAGCAATGCGGATTCTGTCCTGGTCGTGTAACAGTGGACCAGCTCGTTACCTTTGCAGGTCTGTTGGAGGGGTCAGGGGAGCTTGCCAATCCAGTCTACATGTGTTTTGTGGACTTGGGGGAGTCCTGTGGGGGGTACTGTGGGAATATGAATATGTTGCTGCAAGCTGTGTCAGTAAACTAATGGACAGGATCGCAAGGCTGGGGGGAGGAGAGTGTTTGGTTTGGGGACCTCAGAATTAGTTCTCTGCTCTTTGCAGATGATGTGGTTCTATTGGCTCCTTCAGAGGGAGTCTCTCATGGGTCTTGTTCACCAGTGAGGGTCGGAGCGTGAAATGGACAGGTGGTTCTGTTCAGAGTCAGCTGTGATGAAGACGTTGTACCGGATCGTTGTGGTGAAGAGGGAGCTGAGACGCTGATCCTTCAGGTTAAAGGGACCAGCTGAGGAGGTTCAAAAGTCTGGACGCCTCTCTCTTAGAGGTTTTCTAGGGTTTCGTCCAACTGGTAAGAGGCCTCGGGTGTCAGACCCAGAACAGGGAGGGATTATATAACTCTGTCCTAGCAACGCCTCGGGATCCATCAGAAAACACGAAAAGCCGAGTTTGAGGCTTCAAAACATCCACAGACCAATTCATGACGTCACAGCGACTACGTCCACTTCTGATGTTTATTAATGTGAACAGAGTGAGATGTTGTAAAAAGACTCTTAACACAATTTTAGTTTTCATTTCACTGAACACAATCCTCACATTTAAATCCCAAATTCTACTTTAACGATCATGTATTTGATATTGTTCGATGATGTATTCTTTTCCCCAGAGGATGAACCATGACATAGTGTAGGTCAGTCACAGCCTGTAGGTGTGAATGGTTTGTCTGGATGGATGTCTTTCAATCAGTTCTGCTCCACTCTCAATTTTCTACTCAAATGACTTCAAATTCGTGGCTCCCAGAGGATGAACCCTTCGGGTGATCCAGGGTGGTACACGTCCACTTAAACACTCAAATATTGACAGATTCTTTTTGACTTTTTGCTGAGTACATCCATGGGAGGGAGCGGGAGAAGTATATTTTGTGTACGTTTCTTTCTCTCACGTCTGGGTTTTTTTT